CATAGAGCCCTGACCTCAAACCCTTGATCACCTTTGGGTTGAACTGGAACGTCTATTGCGAGCCAGGCCTTTCTTGTACAACATCCGCTCCTGACCTCACAAATCTCACAAACACTTTTGACTGAATGGGCTGCATCCCACCCCATCCCCCTAACCACACACATGCCATTCATTCAAGATTGGTATGTTTTATTTGTGACACAGAAAATTTATTTTAAAATACATTATAATACAGAATACATATAAAAAGTAGAATTCTATAAATATGAGAAGGTTTACAGGTTAGTTAGCTTAGAAAGAGTTAGTATAGGTACTCTGTATCGGCCAATACTTAAGGATCAGTTATTGGTATCAGAAAGGAAAGACTTTAGCATATTCAGAGGCCATAATCAGAGTTTGTGTATGTGTATCTGGAGAGAGAAAAAAATCGAGTAAGTCACAAAAAAAAGAATTTCTGTGTGTTTGTGTGTGTGTGTGTGTGTGTGAGTGAGTGAGAGTGAGAGCGAGAGAGCGAGAGAGAGAGAGAGAGAGCGAGAGAGAGAGAGAGAGCGAGAGAGAGAGAGAGAGAGAGAAATAGAGAGGAAGAGAGAGAAAATGAATATACAATATGACAACATTACACCACCACTGCATTTACACACACCTTCCACTACAGGCTCTCACTGAAACCAGAAACAAGGACGAAATACAAGAGCAAAGAATATGTGCAGCAAGGGAAAACAAACACAGTGGGACAGTGAGTGAGTGCTGTGTGCTTTGTAACTGGATGCAGAAAGTAAGCTTAAGGCTGGAAAGCGGCTTTAAAATTAATCGGTGCTGCGTGGGATTAGAGAGCAACTCGCGTGCGCTCTTTCTCTGTAGATGTACTGATGTAAAGAGAGGATAGGCAGCTATATCTGTCCATCAGCCTTGCTTTTCTCTTTTCTTCCGTGTCTTCCTTTGTATTTCCCTCCCTTTCTAACTTACTTTCTTTTCTCACACGCTGTCTAACACTCTCTCACACTCTTGTGTCTCCTCAGCAATGTGGACTCAGGGGCAGTGAATAGAGGAATGTGCCCCAGAAAAGTCCAGCCTGACCTAAATGTGGTGAAACTGAGGATAGCATCCAAAACATACAGAGAATTGGAATGTTTTAGCAAAAAAATAAACAGACTCAGAGAAATGTGCAAGTTCATTCTTGACATGATTTAGTATAACAGTGTTTAAAGAAACAGTATTAGGATACAGATACTAATGAGAAAATATTTCATACAGTTAAACAGAAGGTTAAACACTTGTTTATCGTACACAGCTAGCATAAGAGATAAACCATATCTAATAATTCAAGTAGATTTAGTGATTCATCTCTATGTAACTCGAGTCATCCAAACGTGTGTTACACAAAACAACACAATATCTTTTTGTATGAAATATTTCCATATACCTATATATGAATTTGAGTCCCAACATGCTCTTTGTTTAGGTAACATACTTAAAAAAAAAGAACAATACTTTTTCACTTAATTTATTGTTGCCTACACTAATATCCAATATTTTTCATGTACATGCCGATGCCCATATCAAAACAAAAATAAATACATCCAACTGGATTAGCATTACAGAGAAATGTGACACTAATTTAATTACTGTTACAAAAGCAGCAAAATGAATAAAATGCATTTTACATACATTTTAGTGCAATAACCTAAAGTCACTTAAACAATCTATTTTTTTGGAGTACAATAAATAAGCCAAATATTGGTTTGCAATTGTTTCCGATATTGATATGATTCTGATATCATTGTGCATCCCCACTTGAATTATTTCTTTTTTTTATTATTTTAATTCAAACAACACAAGCCTTGTTTTAATTAATTTGCAATTAAGTAAGCAAGTGCCAAGATAAGTTTGGATTCCAATAATCATGGAATGCTAATGCAATAAACAATTAAAAATACAGGTGGTAACGTACAATCAATTTTAAGTTATACTATCAAAAATAAAGTGTGCAGGGTAACTGACATATGTACAGGGCACTGATTAAAAGATCAAACTTTGAAATTTTAATAAATACAGAAAGATGTCTCCTGAGATGGAGCAGGTTAAGTGTCCCACCGGCACATGTACACACATGCAGGCAAACACATAAGCTCAGAAGTCCAAGAAAAATCAAACTAATCAATAACCTCATGGTTGAGCACACCTCCACAAAACTCCTGATCACCATGGAGACACCATGGCAAAGAGAAGCACACAGGAGAGCAGAGAGAAAGAGATATGGAGAGATGCACAATGTCACTAATTTTAATAATTAGGATCATCTGACAATTCATCAAGTAATCAGAGTAAACCAATGTTTCAATATTTTTGCATAATCAAATTTTAAAGACGAATACGTTTTGCTAAAAAATTGCTCCATTCTAGAGAAACTTACAGAGCCAGAATTGTTCACTGTCATGGTACTGGGAACCAGACATCTGAAATGTTTAATGCCTCTTAAAGCTCCCTCACAGAAAGTTACAGCATGAAATTATTATTAATGTGCTCCCTATCACCTGGGACACTGAGGCATTTTTATGATATTTCTGAGATAAGAACAGAGTGTTCCCATCAAACCACTCTAAATGACTTTGTTTACATCCTAACCATTTAATTTAGCAATTCCCCTTTAAGGCCAAATTAACAATAACCATACACAGCTTTTCAACGACTACAAAATTGTCCATCTGTAAAAGACAAGCTAGTAAGCCTTTAAAATAATTTCTTAGAGCATCAGTTGTTTTTTTGCAAGTGAAATGTGGTATTAGGGTCTCAGGGGTAAAAGTCATTTTGATAGAACATTATAAGAAAACCTGAGTTTTGTTTTTTAAAAATTAAAAAACTAAAAAGAAAGAAAGAAAGAAAGAAAGAAAGAAAGAAAGAAAGAAATATTCATATGAACAGGGACATCTCACTAGGAAAAATGGGTTAATTAAAAGTAATTATGTTACTTTTTACGTAACCAAATCAGTGAGCCACGTTACACTTAAAGATATTCTCATGAGGAAATTTTGTGAAAACCTCTTGTGCCACACACATTCAATTATAATCTCCAAGGATTGAACATATACTAATCTAGCTGCTTTCATTTACACACATGCTCATTCTTTCTCTCATATGCTTGAAGGATCTTAAATAAAGGTGAATATAAACCATGTGTGAGTACTTTGTACTAGACCAAAGGCATCTAAGACTAGCAGCCCCACAACACAGAAGTGTCTGGTGATAATCACACAAACTCTGTCTCTCTCTCGCTTTCTGCATGACAAAACTATCACAACGATCATAGGCATATACTGAAAAATAACCACAATGAGAATATTCACATTCCTCTTTACGCAGACTATTCCAGCGTGTTCATGGCGAGGCTTTGTGATGTTGCTGAAAGCCCTGCAGAGAAATCCATTTAAAAATGGGTCTCCATTGCATAACACCTTATGTGCACGTATTAGCAAAAGACAAAAAACAGAATCACTGCTCTTACTACTGCTTTACCTCTTGAGTTTAACCTCAACCAATAAATCAACAGTCTCGTTTAGAAAATATTTACACAAAATCCTACTTGCACAGCACTTGTGATGACTTCTCCAGAAAGTAAACTTTTACTTGCAATGTGATGCAGCAAAGGGAACTTGCACCAAATGTCACACAGCTGTGCTGATGCAGAAAGGCACAAAAAGACAGATCCTTTTACACTGAGCAACATCCTCTGGGGTCCTTCTGATCAAGACCACTAGATGGGAAACCTAGTCTCTCAGTGAACCTCACAGAAAAAATACAGATTTACCATGGGGCAAGGAAATTAATCTTCTACAGAAAATATGACGACAAAACAAGAAAGAATGAAACAAAAAAGAGAAAGAGAAACCAGAAAAAGGCACAAAGCAAGAAAGAACGAAAGAAAGAAAGAAATACTATAAGTAAACTTAGTCACCAACAAATTACTGAGAATAACAATAAAACTACTAACAGTTGTAATGAGACTTATGTGAATGGATAGTGACACATCGTTGACCTTTACAGAGTATGCCGAGATTTTAAGTAAACAAGCGATGTGTAGCAAGGTTACACCCTTTCATAACTTTTTCCCTTTTCACTAATGTTATGCATGCAAAAACGATTACTTCTTCATTCTAAAACCAAAACTACCTACAGAGTTCATATATTTACTGATAACATTATTTACTGATTTCAAACCGCTGACTTAAGTCAAATGAACAGAGAACTCCCTGCACTCGCGCACTGGCCCACCATTGTTCCTTCTCAGCAAAACAAAAAATCGAAATATCTATTAAAACAACGATGACTTTGACGTTTGCTGGCAACTACCTCTCAAAAATGTAAGAATACCATATATTCCCCACATAACGGGAAGGCAGGTGCGTAAACGCTGTGTCTGAAAATGGCGCTGAATGTGAAAAAAATGTCAACAGATTTCCTTCCTCGCGAGCATCGCATCACACAATACACAATCCAGCAGCGAGGTGCAAGGTCCGCGGTTAGACTTACCTTTTCCTTTAATTCATGAATATGGAGTGACAATTCACAGCAAGATGATTTAAATCGCTTTTCTGTCACAGAGATTCAGAGCTGCAGACCCATGTGTAAAATTATTCTACCTTTTTAAATGGTGTTTAGGTTCTAGTAAAAAGGGAGGGCTACGTATGCAACGAGGTAAAGCGTATTTATAGAAACGACCAATAGGAGACACGCAGAGAGCGAAATGGTCCAATCACAGCCGCAGGCATTGAGTTGGCTGCCCAGCGCTAGGATGCAGCAGCATCGTAACCAAGGATACCCAGAAACGTATTAACGCAATACGTTTTGTAACCTTTTTTATTTTCCAGCAGCTATTCCTCCACATTGTCACAAGGAATATACTAACGGATACAACAAGATGGGTAATTTATAATAACGTAGGGAACGCAGTTAAAAAATAATCGCGTTAAGTAAGTACAATAAAAATTGACTGTTTCTAAGACCTATTGAATCCATTTTCTTTCTTCCCTGTGTCTCTTCCCCCAAAGGGTCCTTCCCCTCTGCCAATGGAAGGAGCAGGTGCTTGGCCAGACCGTCTGCTGATCCGAACTGACAACGAGACATGCAGGGTCCCAGGAGATCAGGAAAACAGGGGAGAAACACAAGCACTCCTCAGCTCCCCCCCTCCCCGCCCTCGATTTCCATCCACAGAGCACTTCCATAACCTTCTGTTCCCCAAGCCCTTCCCCCTCCCCCTACCCATCCCGTCTCCATAGACATCTGTGGTCTTGGGCACCAGCTGGGCAAGAGGCCTCTGATCAGAGCTTTCTTGCCCTCCCTACTCCATTACCACAATGAAGCCTTAATGAGGTCTCTAGAAATCAGACTTCACTGAACCAAAATGCAGTAGCCTGGTTATCTAAAAACGGCATGCAGCTTTGACCTAGGAAAGCACCTAACAGCATAACTGATGCTTGAAACACACTGATGTTTGATCCCCTCAAGAGACTTCATCTCAGGTACAAGAAAAAACAAAACTGAAATATTGGACGAGGTGCAACTAACAGAATTTTATCTTTCATTTTCGTAGAATTCAATTAGTATGCTATTATCACTCTGAGACATTTGGTTTGAACAACTGAATTTGGTTTGACTAGCAGAATCCTGACTACCAGTAATCATACAGTAAGGCTAGGTACTATCACTTACATTATCATTAACAAGGTTATCGGTAAGAAACAAGACTCTACTTGATAAAGATACTGTGATGGGTATTTTTAAAATATCAAGGTAATATTTATTCATTCATTCTATTTCAGGTCATCTTAGACTATATCATCTGCACATTTATATATGGAGCATCACCAAGGTGTTTCTTAAATCCCTTTTAATATTCCATGCCAGCAGAAGCATGAGAAGATGCCCTAAGAACTGTAGGTAAAATCACTATTGTAAAAGTCTCTTCAGCTCTGAGCACTTCAGCTAGAGAAGGAGCCCCCTCTGCTGGAAACACGGATGCACTGCTTTTCTGAAAACTCAAATTTATCTATTATGCTGATGGTGTTTTAACAATGGTATTTTACATCATCCAAAGTATACAAAATATCCAAACATATCTTTTTCTCCCTGTCTCTCTCTCTCTCTCTGGCTGTGGCCACTCTCTGCTGTTCTTTTCATTAAGATAACACAGAAAACAGTACAATCCAAGGTATCACATTGATGAAGTACTTTTAGCTATTATTTTCTTTTTATTAGCATTCCTTCTTTGCAAAATCTATTTGATAATTATTAGATCTAAAGTAAAGAATTTGCAGAGCAAAATGTTAAACATAGTCTAAGTGATACTGGTAATGCTACACTGTAAAAATGGCTCGCCAGATCTACCTAAAAAATGACTTGATGTGATAACAAGCAATTGAACTAGTTTTATTCAACTCAAAAAATTCCTTTTTTTGAAAGAATCGTTCATTCAAAGTATTTATTTAGGTTGAATAAAACTAGTTAATTTACTTGTTACTACATGAAGTAATTTTTTAGGCAGATCTGACGAGCCATTTTTTACAGTGTATGCACAAAGAAAGATGTATAACGACATCCAGCACAAGCCAGTTTATTGTAAGTAAATCATCTCAGAATACTAGAGTCATGTGTTGGCTGTCTGTGTATATGAGAGTTTGACAGAACTATGGTATGCCCAAAGCTGTTGGCTGACTTCGTTATTTATTTATGTTACTTTCTGTCAGTGTGTTATACTACTATCTTTACAGAAATCTATAGAGAGCTGCAATTCTCAGGCATGTTACAGCACTAAATTACTCTGACATAACTTCAAACTACTGAAGCCAGGCATGTTTGATGTTTGACACAAATAGTTCCTTAGATAATGTAAAAAATGTTACATTACAACTACAAAACCAACAAGAGATCAAATGGACATGGCCAGCATATCCTCAGACATCGATAAATCAGACAACTGTTTCTGTCCTGCAACATAAATCAACAAATAAACAGCTTAAAAATAAACTACAGGTTATTAAAATATCTCTTTTGGGTGTTTTTGAGTGTTGCTGCTTCTTCTTCTTCAGATGATCATTTTTATCAGGCTACTCTGCTTTTCATGTCATTAATCCTGTTCTCAAGTCAGGGACCACCTGTTCCACCATTTCTCTTGATTGGCTCTCTGCTCCATACAATCTCCATATTAGCTCAGTGACATTACATTTGGTACTGTCATAGGATGCCACCTTTGCCACAGGTCAGTTTGTGAAATTTGTGAAAAATCTGTCCCAGTCAACCTATGCTATAATTGTGAAATGGAAGTGTCTAGGAGCAACAACAGCTCAGCCACAAAGCAGTAGACCAGGCAAACTCACAAAGCCGGGCTGCTGAGTGCTGAAGCATGTAGCGCATACAAAAATTGTCTATCCTCTATTGCATCAATCACTACAGAGCTCCAAACATCCTCCAGAAGCAACATTAGCCCAATAACTGTGCATCATGAGCTGCATCATGAGCATCAAATTGATTTACATGTGCCATGCCAAGCGGCAGCTAGAGTGATGTAAAGCACTTCACACTGGACTGTTGAGCAGTGGTAATGTGTTCTCTGAAGTGATGAATTACACTTCATTATCTCACACCCTAGTCCTGGGTTTGATGGATCGGTATGCATAGTGTCAACACTAAATTTTGGTGGAGGAGGGATATAGTCTGGGGCTGTTTTTCTGGGTTTGGGCTCGGCTCCTTAGTTCCACTGAAGGGTACTTTTAAGGCTGCAGCATACAAAGACATTTTAGACAATTACATATTTCTAACATTAGGTAACAGTTTGAGGAAGGCCCTTTTCTTCTCCAGGATGACTGTGCCCCTGTGCACAAAGCGAGTTTGGTGTAGAAGAATTTCAGTGGCATGCAGACAGCCTTGACCTCAATCCTACTGAACTCCTTGGGGATGAATTCATCGGTGCCTGAACTCACAAATGCTATTTTGACTGAATGGGCACAAATTCTCACAGAAGCACTCCAAATTCCTGAGGAAAGCATTTCTAGAAGAGTAATGGCTGTTCCAAAAAGGGGGCCAACTCATTAATGTTCATAGTGATGGAATGGTATGTTCAACAAGCTCGTGCAGGTACAATGGTACAGTGTCCATATACTTTTGGCCATATAGTGTATCTCATGCCTCCTTTTTGCTCTGCCATTAATGAAATAACTTTATTTCCAATATTCAAAATGACCCAAACAAAATTTGTATAATTCATGTTCAACATATTAAACTTTACTTTAAAGAACCAAAGTTTACTGCCCTGGTACTAATGGAGAACAATGGAATTATTTTGGGTAAAATCAATTGTTGCATGCTCTCTCTTTCTCTCTCACCTAGTCTTTGGATAAATAAAAAAACAAGGTCTATTTTCCTCCAGCTCAGAGTCTCAAAAACCAAATACATCTCTCTACATCTTTCATGCTGACTGAGTGAGCACTAGCAAGTTCCTGGGAACTGGGAAGTTCCTGCGTGTGCCTTAAAGCTTTAACAGGTTGGGTCATACACTCAACAAACCCTAAAAAGGAAAGACCAACATAAGCATTTTCTGAACGACTGTAATAACCTTTCCTTGGGTCAACAAATAGTACTCCTAGCAGCACATTGTTTTATGAAATCATCGGTCATAGCACACATTTGTCATATACATAAACATCACTGCATAAAGCACATATAAACAACAGTAAAGTCATCACACACTGTGACCCAGAAATAACAAATGTCTTTGTCTTGATAGTTTTGTCCTGATGAGCTTTCACTGCTTAAAACTTACAGCAAGTGAATGAGTGAAAGAAATGCGATATACTCACCAAATAATGAAACAAGCCATTTCCCAAGCAAGATGTCACCAAATACCAACGGATAACCCAAGCCAGGATATGATCATGGTTAAGGCCAAAGTCCAGATCAAGAGGAGAGTAAGAGAAAGAGAAAGAGCAGATATTAGCATAAATTCAAGATATCCTCAATATACCTTTGTATCACGCTCAGATAAAGCTGTTTCTGTGCATGGCTTTGCTGTTCTAAGTTTTGGTTGATATGCATCTACTAAATTACAAAAATGGCAAATTAAAAAAAAGGAGTTATCAAAACAAAACTTTGTGTCTCCATTTTTTTGACATGCTTATTTTTTCCTCGACCTTCGCGCAAAGCATGTTTTCCGTGTATGGTGGCCCTAGAATACTTCATACATAATCAAGGAATGCAAGTTTCATACTACTCAAATTTATTTTTTAGGATAAATAATAAGTGAGCATGGAGTGAAAATCGATGAGTCCAAAGTTTCAGCCCAGATCCATGAAAGAGCTATAAAAATTCCTTGGTTTTGCCAACTTCTACAGGAGGGTCATTAGGGGCTTCCTCTTCAAGGGAAACCCAAAGGTTTTGAAATGGACACACTTGCATTCAAAATTCTTAAAAAGTACTTTATGTCTGCTCCCATTCTGCATCACCCTGACCCCAACCTTTGTTTCACAGTAGAAGTGAATGCCTCAGAGAGTGGTGTTGGTGCTGTATTGTCCGAGCATCATGGTGATCCCCACCCCCAGTTATACCTGTGCACTTTGTATTCATGAAGCTGACCAGCGCAGAGCAAAATTATGATGTGGGGAAATGTTAAGTCGTTAGCCGTTAAAGCTGCTCTGGACCAGCTGATTAGACGGGGCATGACACCTCTTCCAGATTCCGTCAGAGCACCAAAACCTGGAACATGTCATATCAGCGAGATGTCTCAACGCACAGCAGGTCAGGTGGGCACTGTTTTTCACTAGGTTCAACTTTACATTAATGTACAGACCAGGGTCAAAAAATGGCAAAGCCGATGCACTACCACACTTATATGAAACAGAACACCCCCCAAAATAACTGAGGAAACTATTCTCCTCTCTTCTTGTGTCTTAGCTCCTGTGCGATGGGAGACAATGGATGACATTATGCATGCCCAAGCAGATGAACCTCCTCCACATTAGTGCCCTCTGGACAAAACTCCCTCAAGCAGTTCATACATCCCTGTTACAGTGGATTCACACATCACTGAGCACTAGACATCCAGGTGCTTGGCAAGCACTCGCCTA